AGTAATCCATTATGATACAAATATTTGTTTTCCCAGGTGAAGAAGCCACCGCCGTACAAGTGTACAAGTCCATGCCAATGCAGGAACCTCAGCACAGGGACGACTTCATGAGATGTGAGTCTTATTTTCGCTGACTTTTCTCTGCAGTGACAGATCACTGCTCTCACTTCCATTTCAGTCAAATTAAATCCTGATGAGGTTCTCTGCCAGGCCCTGTGGTCGACCACAAATCTGTATGTCCCACAGTGTTGACAGAGACTGGGATTGACTCATTAACAACTATATCAGATTTGCAGTTAAAGTGCTCCCTCCTTCCTTAAAATGAGTTAATAAAACACTGATTAACTAATTTAACTAACTAGACAGACAAGAACAAAACAATTGGAGTTATTATTCTTATATTATAACCAAATACCTAATATCATAAGAATTTGAAGTGGTACTGTTATTTTTAACTAAAACAAAACGGCATAGTCTTTGAGGATGCATTAAAAAGGAGTTCAAAGGTGGTGGGTCTCGCCTTTTTAGTAAATGGACTTCTGTTTGTGGTCAAACTCACGAACAGTGATGATACTCTGGCATTCCAGATAATAGGCCGGGAGATAATAGGCCGGCCAGATCTAGGAGGAGCCCCCGCATGTCCCACCAGCTGTGATCCACAGAGGTGGAGATAAACAGCCAGCAGGTGACATCCAACACCTGTCATTATTATTATTATTATTATCTGATTTCTGTCTCCAGTCAAAGGGTCTCCCATTTTGCCTTTAAATCATTTAATAGCAAAAGTTAGTTCAAAATGTAAAATAACTAGAAATATAAATTTCTGGCAGCTTGTCGCGCAAGCAGGATCGGTGCTGCTGTAAATAGGCTTCGTCATCTTAGGCTTCGTCATTTTCATTTAACACAAGCAATTTGAATTTGGAAAGTAGAAGTGTAACAAAATATAAATACTATTGCGATAAACATTATTATGTTTTGTGTTACTGTATTGATTATCATAAGCACTGTGTTGATCAATAACCAATAGTTGATCATAACAAATATGTCTGCCAGCACCAACACTTTTCTAAGTGGTATAAGTATATAGGCAGATATTAATTCTCCCTCTATCCTTTGTTCATATTCTAGAAAAAGGGTGCTCTAATGCTGGATGTTACAGGGACTGTAATAAATGCAAATACAAATCCCACTGTGGCAATAGCATAAAAAACATCATTATTTTTAAAGTACACTTCTTTTACTCAGATTTGCATATGGCAGTGTTTTCTTTATAATATGATGGCTTTTCTCAAATAAGATGGAAAGAATTCTCAAAATATCGCAAAGTAAAGCAATATATTGACACCATGTCCTGTATCATGAAATGTCTCTTATTGCCAGATTCTTGTCGATACACAGCCCTAAGTAAATGTTCATTTATCTTCCCAGATGCCTGCCAGCTGACTCTGGACTCCAACACGGCCTACAGACAGCTCTACTTGTCCCGAGCGAACAGGAAAGCCGTCCTCAAGAGAGACCCCCAAACCTACGGTGATCACCCCGCCAGGTTTGACTCCCTGCCCCAGGTCCTGTGTAAGGAGAATCTCTCTGGAGGACCGTACTACTGGGAGGTTGACTGGAGTGGAGAGGGGGCCGCCATCGGGGTCACCTACAAAGGCATCAAGCGGACGGGCTACGGAGACAACTCCCGCATCGGCTACAACCGCAAGTCCTGGAGCCTGTTCTGCTCTGATGCCAGCTACTCCGCCCGCCACAGCAAAGACCAGATAGAGATCAACGCCCCCTACTCATCCCGTATAGGGGTGTTCCTCGACCACGAAGGCGGTACCCTCGCTTTCTATGGAGTGGGGGAAACCATGTCTCTCATCCACCGCTTCAAGGCATCCTTTGCCGAGCCTGTCTTCCCAGGCTTCTGGGTTTGGTACGAGTCAGGCATTACCCTCATCCAGTAGGGATTAAATACACTTCCTATGATTAATGTACAACAGTGATTCAGTGTGTAGGTATAGATTACAAGAACAAAGCCAGTACTACTTTGTGAGGATGTGTTATAATTTTTTTTTTACTATGTGTTGTGTATCAGGGTTCTTGATGCTTGTGACTTTTCTGCAAATCAACATGTTTGAGGATCAGATGTATAAAGTGAATGCATTTAAATTATCGTTTGAAATATTGAATGATGTACTTGATTGAAACATGTCACAAGATCATTTATGAAGATGTTGTACTTATTTTGCTCAATAAACATTTTATATCAAGCATATACGGGGAAGTCTTTGTTGCATTTTTACTTCTATTGTCACTCAACAGGCTAACTACCTCTCAGACTGCTTCCTGAGCGCAAAAAAAGAAGAAGCTTGAAATAAAAGAGAACTGTTTGTTATTATTTATCTTAGTTTTGTCCAGATTAAATCTTCTAGGGTTTCATGGGCTATAAATATCACATCTAACGGGTTATAAATATCACATCTACCATGCTCTAAGAGTCTAAAAAAAGGCTCATGTTTCTAAGATCACCAATGTTTAAAAGTCAGATGTTTATGATATGATTAAAGGCAAAATTAAACGTTTTTTAAAGTAGTTTATATGCTTTATTTTTCAAAGTCAGTGTGGTATTGGACTGGAAAGTGAAGCTGCTATCAATACTCTCTTGAAATCCACTTCTTTGACAAAAACAGTTATGTTACCTTCCAGAACACTGAGGTTGCTGTTCTACTGCTGACTCCTTTGGTTAGTTTTTTTTATTGTGTGACTTTGGCTTTGGTAAGTTGGGATTCACTGTCGTCTCATAATAAAACAAACTGAGTAAGGCAGGGGGAAAATAGCAACATCTGAAAGGTACAATTACTGTTTTTGTCAAACAAGTATGGTGGCTTTGAGAAGAGAATAGAAAGCAACTTCAGTACCCTGTCAGAAAGGGGTGTTTAAAGGCAATATAAAGCCCTCAAAATACTCTTAATATTACATACACCTAAACCAACATGTTTTGTCTTTTGTTTATGTGGCTAACATGCTGGTACTTATATCTGTTTCTCCAAACCGAGGGTGTGCTGACTGTCCTTGGCTATAGGAAATACACTGACTATGGACAAGTACCTCCTAACCCCACTTCCAAAAATCCACTATCCCTTTTAATGCTTTGTCTGTGTAGAGCAGTGTTGGTTTTGCGGAGGTCTGAGAGGCAGAAGAGATTTGAAAAGGAGTAGGTGAGGTGTGACTGAGAGTCTCCTGACTTTACAGATGGATGAGCATCATCTGGGAAGCAGTTTTAAAATGTTTTTGGCAGTCTTACTTTTACGATTGTTATCATTGAGTTGGTCATTGAAAGCATAGATTCAGGCAGATAAAGTATAATTGATGTGACAAATAAGCTTTTCTTTTGCAAAATAGCTGTAAAAGTGTCTAGGTTCCAGTCAATCATTGTAATAGATAACTATATGCAAGTGTCCATGTTTCTTTTCACTAAATCTTAATGGCTTGTAATGGTAAATCAGCCTGTATTGACATTTTGTTTTCATTGGCACAATTTTAGCAGTGTCAAACTATAATAATGAAAAAACATGTTTATCGTTTGGACTTGCATTTTGTCAGTTCTATCTGATCATTTTAATCAACTTCTCCTTTGGTTTGAACACCAGGAAACAACACAACTGTTGACAACGGCAAACTAAATGTGTCTCGGTTCCAGTTCTCTGTAACGTTGTGGAATCCTAAAACTGCAGCTTTAAGGGAAAGTTTTTGATGATACAGGGAGAGGATATGAAAAGCTCCTCCAGAAACCTTGAGGTTAAAGTCAGCGGGTGACTTTCTCCTTTGTTCAGTGGAATGGTATCTCTGATTCATACGTTTTCTGGAAAAAAACTAATCCCACAATTTCTATGAGTAAGCAGAGAAATTTGCAGTACAAGGATAATTGATTGTGCGATTTAGGTAAATATTGATAGAAAAATCTATTTATCCCAATCCCCATGTATTTGAAACAATTTCACATTAAAAAGGTATTTCATTTTTAGTGCAGATACATATGCACTGTCAAAATATTGCCATTGTGTATTATTAATATTTCTAGTTAAATGCTTAATTAACTGACATCAAACATTGATTGATTACGAAATACATATTTAGAGCAATTATATGTGACAATTTGTTAAGTTTTGCTGTTGCAGCTGCTCTGCAAAGAAATTTTTAAACGACTTAAATTAATTTTGAGGCTTGCTACCTCTAGTGGAGAAATGTAGAATATAGTGCTCACCAATGCTGTCTTCATGGGCACCTGTTCACCTCACTCTGGAAAAGCTTCTGTGTAAGAAGATGAATCACTGTTGGAGATAGAAAACATTATATAACAGTGATAGTATAGGCCTAGCAAACAGGTCTCGTTGAGTAAACAGTAGGCTTAGTGGTTCGGTTTACCTATGCTTTAAAAGTTCAAACACAGAAACTATTATGGCATTGGTTACTTCAAACAACATATTAGAGGCTACCTCTCCCTGAACAAATGTACCTTCCTACGCTTAGTTCTTTTTTTAAACTTCAAACATACAAACATCATGTTAAGTGATTGCACACTTGTCATTTTGCACCACCAAGAGTTAAAAGACATTTTGAATGTAAATTAGTCAACAACGTGATAACATGAATGTTTAAGTTTTTAGACACAACTTGTTTTTAAATGGCAAACGTGATGCAGAGAAGCTAAATAAATACAACAAAATAAGTTAAATACACAGTATAACATAGATAAAATGCTTTACCTTTTTTCCGTACACCATGTAGCGACACGAGGCACGAAAGTCATTGACACGAGGTATAATCGCTTAAATAACGCTAGGCTGAAATTCAAACTTAGATAAACGGGCAGTCATTCCTCCAGCCACTCCCTATTTAATACACCTGTAACTTTATAAACGTATTTCATTTTTGCATCAAATCATTAGGCCACCCTGTCTGTAGAGGGCAGTCAATCTCAAAACGTACATAGAAAAAGAAAGGGTTGTTTCTCGTCGGACAGACTTACCCTGCGTACCACTGGAAAGAAGCGCCGCATTCTCACATTTTCGCAAGTGTGGCTGCACAGGTGAGTTACAATCATAACATAATTGTAATACATTATTATTAACTTTTCAAATCATAATACTGTAGAACTCTTACTATGATACAATCTCTTGCTATTCGCCTTCTAATCAAATCTTTGTAAGGTAACGTGAGCTGCTGAAGACAGAAAATCGTTTCATGGAGCTAGCTAGTTTGCTAACATAACATTAGCTAGCGTTAAATACTTTGCTTCGTTCTCGCTGAGGAGAAGATAGTAGGTAACATTTGTGGCTTCTGCATATCATCTAAACAATCTCATGTTGCTGATGACTGAGATGTGTGTTTTGGCAAAACGACAAACATGACAAATTAAAAGCCAAAGCGACATGGCTAACGCTCTCATACACGTTTGTGTTGTGGCATGCGTTACAACTGTCGCTATGACAACCGACCGGACAAGACATACTCAGTAGGTACATTGTTATTTTCCAGCTCAGATATTAGTGCTGAGTCTTTATGTGAAACCTGATGCTTCTTCTATGTATTCAAAAAATCTAGGACAGGAGTACTGAACATCTCACACCGGGCTCATTGTTAAGAGCGTTGGACAATATACATTCGAGATCTGGATTAGATAATTGAAATATGTATGGTCTTTAATTGTTAATTAATTGTCCAGAAATAAAAAACTCTTAGATTCTACAGTGCTCAATACCGTTGTTTCTTTTCGCATGGCAGCTCGCACACCTCTTGAAGTTTTGTGAGCTTCTTTCAGCCATGGTATTTCTCTCCGCTCATGAGGAAGATCGATTATTCCTATCTTCCTCTTTAGCTCACCAATATACACACTACAGAGTCACAAAGTGATTTTGACTATTTCTTTGTGACTGTGTTGTTATTAGAGTGTACCTCCTAAACTTAATATAACGGTATTTTCCTACTAATAAAAATAATAGTTGAGCGGGAAGAATTATTTTATTCTGAAACTAGTTATTGTGTTTTTATTAAAGATATTTTTCTGTCTGCTTATAATCAAATTCAGATGGCGACTACAAAGGTCCCAGAGGTCCGTGACATCACACGGATCGAGAGAATCGGTAAGCATCCACATTCACACTGAAACCCTGACTGTTTAGCTTCAATGGAGACACATTAATGATTGCTTGTGCATATTATGATCAGGTCAACGTTGATTGAAGTCTTACCAAACAGCAAATCCCTCTTCCAAATGTGCTTAATATTCATGTGTACATTTCTATTTTATTTTGTGTTCAGGAGCACACTCTCACATCCGTGGCCTTGGTTTGGATGATGCTTTGGAGCCAAGACAGGTAGCGTTCAGTCTTCTTCTTCAGTTGGCATTACAAACCTAAACAGATGTGTACTGTTGTATTTAGAGAATAACTTTGTAGACTAGAAGTACTTGGATCCCAAAAATGTGACAGATACAGCTATATTGTAAAAAGAAAACGGAAATATATTCAGATGTGCATTAATATTTGTGTGACTTCAACCTTCATATGTTCATGTTCACCTGCAGGTGTCTCAGGGGCTGGTGGGCCAGCTGGCCTCCCGTCGGGCAGCGGGGGTCGTCCTGGAGATGATCAAAGATGGCCACATAGCTGGCAGAGCAGTTCTGATCGCTGGCCAACCTGGCACAGGAAAGACTGCCATTGCTATGGGTAAGTGTTACGTTGGAGGCTTTCCAAAACACAACTTAATTTGATCCTCCCGCTGTGGAAGTCATATTGTTGTTGTAAATGGCTGAAGTTATTGTTAAAGCAAGATCTTATTTTCCTGGCCTCGATTTATTTTATATTTTGTATGCAGGCATTGCCCAGTCCCTTGGCCCTGATACACCCTTCACAGCGATGGCCGGCAGTGAGATCTTCTCCCTGGAGATGAGCAAGACCGAGTCACTCAGCCAAGCTTTCAGAAAAGCCATCGGAGTGAGGATCAAGTGAGTGATCAAAAAAAATATTTGTATTATGTCATTTTCATTGTTTGAAATGAATCAGTATTCATTGTGTGATTCTTCTACAGAGAGGAGACAGAGATCATTGAAGGAGAGGTGGTGGAGATCCAGATTGATCGACCGGCCACAGGAACGGTAGGCTGCTGACGTGACAACTTCAAGTGCACTCCCGACTCGCAATGTTCTTTTGATGCCAGAACACACTACGGACCTGTTTACTCCTGTTATTGACATGCGTCTTAGGCAATTGGATCATAAGTAGATAGTAATAACATCAATACGACAACGAAAATGTATTGGATCCCTCAAAGCAGTTGTTGACGTATTTTCCTATTGCGTCCTGGTCTGGGATGCATCTAACCTTATGCATCCTGATCCATCCCAGTAAAGAAACATTTTGTTCCTCTTTTACTCTTTCCGTTTTTTGCTGCTATATACTGCATCACTGCTTTTCAGAGAGAACTTATAATCACTAATGGCGTTCCCCCAAAATGCAACTCAACAATATAGCATCCACTGACTTAGGCACAATGTTTTAAAAAAAAAAGCAATGAGAGAAATCACAAGTGCGTCAAACATATTAGTTGATTTTAATTTCAAATATTCATTGCCTAATAGGCAGGCAATCATTTTTTAAAAGTTGTACAGGAAAACGGTACACCATCTTCTGTCCTTAAACAATCTTATACACATTAAACTTTCTCTTCCAGGGTGCCAAGGTGGGCAAGCTGACTCTAAAGACTACTGAGATGGAGACAATATACGACTTGGGAAACAAGATGATTGACAGTCTCAGTAAAGAGAAGGTTCAAGCAGGGTGAGTTTATATCTCTTCACACTTCAGGATCACTCAGGATAAGATGTGTAATCTAAACTGTCTTTCTCTGTTTTATTTTTTTCTCAGAGACGTTATTACAATTGACAAAGCCACTGGAAAAATCAGCAAGTTGGGCCGCTCCTTCACCAGAGCCAGAGACTACGATGCCATGGGAGCTCAGGTATCCTCTATCTGTCGCATCAATACAATTCCACCTTCAATGTTTTTTGGACATTAGCCATGTGGTTTCTCAAAATGCATTAGCCTGTTTTTGTAATGTCACCACATTCCTAGTGATTGATTTAATTTGACAGCTTTTCAGAATACATATTCATTGTATTTGTGTTCTGTAGACCCAGTTTGTTCAGTGTCCAGAGGGGGAGCTGCAGAAGAGGAAAGAGGTGGTCCACACGGTGTCCCTGCATGAGATCGACGTCATCAACAGCCGCACACAGGGCTTCCTGGCGCTCTTCTCCGGAGACACCGGAGAGATCAAGGCTGAAGTCCGCGAGCAGATTAACGCCAAAGTGTGTGAGTGGAGGGAAGAGGGCAAGGCCGAGATCATCCCTGGGGTAAGTGCAACTCTGTGTTTTTTATATCTGCTTTATCTGTGATTGTCCTTGACTAATTGTTCATGTGTCTGGTTCCAGGTGTTATTTATCGATGAGGTGCATATGCTGGACATGGAGTGCTTCTCCTTCCTGAACCGTGCCCTGGAGAGTGACCTGTCCCCGGTTCTCATTATGGCAACCAACAGAGGCATTACTCGGTAATCATCGTCTACATTTTTCTTGCATTTTATTATTAAGTTGTATTTTTCACGAGTTTTATAATAAAGCTTTATTTAAATGGCAATTTTTATCAGCACGAAATTCCCCTCAGATCAGATGTTAAGACCTTTTCAGATACATGCAGCATAGCAACAAAATATAAGATTTGAACAGGTCAAGAGACAAAAGGAGGTAAAAGGTATGACACAAGACTAAGTTAATCGATGTACCAATGTAAAACCCTATAAAATAAAGTAAACATATATGCACAAAAAAAATAATAGTAATAAAAACTTCATTATTCTAATAAAGCTTAAAAATATTAAAAGACCAACTTAAAAAGAAAAAATGTTGCAATTAAAACTGTTCAAGTTTATAAATGTGGGATTATCATTTTTTGGGGGATTTTTTTATTTCTAACAAATCTTGTATCAGGCTATCGTGTTTCTAAACCGTTAGTAGCTTAGAATTAAATTGAATACAGTACGATTCTGTAAATGATGTTTTTATTTATTATTATTTAAATATGCACTCTGTTATTGCTCTTAGCATCCGTGGCACCAACTACCAGAGCCCTCATGGCATCCCCATCGACCTGCTGGACCGCCTGCTCATCATCGCCACCTCCCCTTATACTGAAAAAGAGACGAGGCAGATCCTCAAGATCCGGTGAGAATCTGAGTTCATCAGCTGTCGGCAAACTATCTTCACTTCTTCTCAGCGTTGTAAATCTAACACGAACTTGCATGGTTTAATTTCAGGTGTGAGGAGGAGGATGTGGAGCTGAGCGACGAGGCTCACACCGTCCTGACTCGCATCGGCATGGAGACGTCTCTGCGCTACGCCATCCAGCTGATCAGCACTGCTGGGCTGGTGTGTCGCAAACGCAAGGTAAGCTCAGTCTGAAGAAGCAGGGCATATTTCTGCAGCTGTGACACAGTGGGAAAAAACTGCTTCCTCATGGATAGATTATATAACGGCAGTTTAGTCATGAGTTTCTGCAGTCTTAGTGTTGATGTCCTCTTTGTTTTTGCTTCTTCAGGGGACAGAAGTCCAGGTGGAGGACATCAAACGGGTTTACTCTCTGTTCCTGGATGAGGCCAGATCCTCTCAGTACATGAAGGAGTATCAGGATTCCTTCCTCTTCAATGAAACACGTGAGTTTGATGTTCATCCTCTCTTTCTAAATCAGGGGTTTCAGGCTTTTTGTTACAGGGACCCCTTAAAGAATACATACATTTACAATTGAATTACTTTTCATAGTAATAAACAGAAAGATATTTCCATTTGAGTCATGTGAATGACCTATTTTAAACAGAGAACCATTATTATTTAGATTGCATTTGGACTCATCTTGACGTCACCGATTCATGACACAATCATATCGGACCATCTAATGAACAATGCTTGTTTTATTGATGAATATAGTCCCCATCTAAACAGGAGATGCTACATTTACAATTATAAAGGATTACTCAAACTGCTCTCTATAGTACTGATGGCCAGTTGTTTCAGAGCAAAGCAGAGAATAGTGATGTAAGGAGAATTAACTTATGAAAGAGTTGAGCTCTGATCAGCATTTCACCAGTAGGCTAAGCTCTCCCATCATTTAATTTAAAATGAACAAATATTAAAGAAGGGCAAACATGTTTCTGCACAATATTCCTATTTCTAATGTTCATATTGAATAATCAAAATGTATCTGTCTACATTTCAGAAGCCCCTACCATGGATACCTCATAATGAAGATGAGTGCTTTGTTTTCTTACTCTGAAGTGTTTACGTTGTCGATCGTCTCAGCGCTTGGAGTCAATTCAAAACTGGACTGTGTCTAAATTTGAATTCAGCATTGAACTACATTAGGAAAGAATTCAAATGTATAAATTAAATGAATTCCTCTATCTGTTCACCTCTGTTCACCTTTAGTTCTACATTGTTTGAATAAAAAATGTTCACTGAAATGTCTAGTTAATTCTGAATTTGCCACAAATCTGTTCATCATCGAGGCCTTACGGCAGGAATATGCATTCCTTCAGTGTTTTCTTTTTTTGTTGACTTGTCTTTACATGGTTTATTTTTATGAAAAATATTAAACGGGCTTTTCTAAGCACACTTGGATGATTTGTTTTCCTTTTTATCATTCAGTCTGGAACGTTACAAAATATAATTTGTGAGAAAACATTAATTTGATATCATACCACAAATTTCATTTTGAATTTGTTTATGCGACCAGCACAACCTTCCTGGATAATGAAAAAGCTTTTATACAAAATAAAGCCCAAAATAAGAAATGTCTTTCTATTTCTGATGAATTATTTGTATTGTCTCAACACACAAGCAGTATTATGGTGTATTCACACTGATGCTGGTGAGCTCAGTGAATGTTCGAGTGTGCTCTTTTACACCTACCTGTAACCAAACGCAACACTAATATCAATGTCAGGAAGCACAACTCAGATTACACCACTAGAGGTCATAAAAAACTGTTTTTCAGGCCTTGCTAAGTGACTCTTTAAAATTGCATTTTTGGAGATGGGTGGTGTTGTTTGCCATCTCTTACAACACCTCTTTAAATATACATAATGGTATGAGACTTTTGTTTTGATACTTGGACAAAATATTTTTAATTCCTGGTTACATTTTGAATTATTTAAATATATCAAGCCAATACAATTTAAGACACATTTCAGACCAATTTAAACAGAGAAAAGGCTAACACCACAGATTGAAAATGACAAAACAGCCTAAGAGTGTGCGATAGCTTGAAATTGTTGCCACAAGGTGGAGCCCAAAGATCTCTTTCTACAAACTGTCTTGAGATAAAGGAAGCCCTGAACACGTTCTTCAATGAACAAGTCAAACAGCATTTCTGACAACCTAAAAATATCTTCCCCTTGCAGCAGGTAGTTTATTAAAGACGCCCGCCTGTATGATGGGTGTGAGCGCTTTCTGTAGATGACTGCAGCTAGTCCACACCTCAATCTCACACCCAGCCTGATACACTGTAAAGGTATTACCATGCTCTGCCTCTGAAACACACACACACAAATACACACACTCACACTTTTATTTTATGTTTGGATAATCTGATGCTTATTACCACAAGTCCCGATCTTGTTTTTATTCATAATTTGTCTAAAGCCACATTTATTTATGCTGTATTTGTTCTTAAATGTCTTTTGCTTTTAATCTGTAAAGCACTTTGAATCGCCACCTGCTGAAAAGTGCTATATAAATAAAATTGCCTTGCCTTGCCTTGCCTTAAAGCCTTTTCATTTGAACTGCGAAAAGAAATTCAGAATCAAAATCAGAATTATGATACTTTATTAATGTTGGAGGCAATTGGGTTTCATGACTCCATTTTCCATCCATCCATCCATCCATCTTCTCCCGCTTATCCGTGGTCGGGTCGCGGAGGTAGCAGTTCCAGCAGAGAGCCCCAAACTTTCTTTTCCCTGGCCACATCAACCAGGATGTGGCCAGGGAAAAGAAAGTTTGGGGCTCTCTGCTGGAACTGCTACCTCCGCGACCCGACCACGGATAAGCGGGAGAAGATGGATGGATGGNCACACACACACACACACACACACACACACACACACACACACACACACACACACACACACACACACACACACACACACACACACACACACACCAACTGACATTGCCCCAGTCTTAACATGGTGTCAGTCTGCCATTCAACCAGTATGTGAGCAGAATGGAATGAGGCCACAGGTGCTGTGTAAGTCTTTAGGCTAGAGCTCCGCTAACACACCAGACTTACATAAGAACCTCCAAGAATTAACCCATAACGTCAGGACTGTAGTAGAAGACAGCATTTGTGTCTTTGTAGGCTGTTAGGATCTTGGTATATACCAGGTCAAAGGCCTGGTCAGTTGTATGCCTGATAACTCACATTGGTTTACGTTAAGCGTAAAAGAGACAAAGCTGCTATCCAATTTTTAAAGTAAATTGCACTCCAATAATAGTTTTATAGTTAGGGTTTCTGTGAATCATTTATCAACTACATAGCCTCACCCTTCCTGAAAACAATGAAGTTTCCTCTACTTGTAAGGATCTATTTGTCTTTGTGAACAAAAATGCCCATTGGCTGTGCAATACTCATGTCTTCTAATGTTAGTAAAAACACTGCTGATGATTTTGCCATCTTATTGGAAGCATTGTTGTCATTGACAAAATCAAGTTCAACAAGTTATAGAGATCATGTCCATATATCTTACAAAAGGAAGATAATTACTTTGACAAGCCTAGCCAGTTGTTGGTAGGAAAGTAGGTTTATGGTCAGTGTCTATCAAAAATGTTCTACAGTTGGATGGAAGCCTCTCTGATTCCCTTTTACACTGTGGGAAGTTGTGCTTAATCAGCTGTTTTCGGGTGATCACAGCTGCTCTTATTTTGTCTCTTGCCCTCGTGGTATCCCTTGGTACCTCCCCTCTCACTCTCTCCTCTCCCTCCCTCTCTATCAGCGGTTTGGCAGCTGTTGTTGCCTCGTTGTCACTCCCACTGGCACCTTATAAGAGTTAGAGATGAAGGGGAGATGGAGGGAGAAGAAAGGGCCACCTGTGCCTTCCTCTCTCTAGTCATGCATGGCAGGGAGCTTTAATTTTCTCCACTATTGATTCCCAAAGCCAAATAATTGCATTGCGATGGTGTTCAGCAGCCCCTCTCCTGCTGGGACGAGAATAGAAACGATGACCTGATGTTGCTTCGACATCGCGCCGCGAATGTGTGCGTCTCCATCTTTGGCTGTTTTTATAGGCCATGTCTCGGAGGAAGGCAGCTGTGGGGCGATGATTGGCACCCTGCTCCCTGTCTCCTTCCCCCTCAATTCCTGTCAACGACAGAGTGACTGCAATCCAATCAGGATTTTAAGGCCAGTTTAACAAGCAGGCTGTTAACCCCTCTTCATGTAAACATCCTATCAGATCTCTAATCCCCTTTTATTTTTAAACACAGCAGGAACAGTATGAACAGTGGGAAGGTGGGGGTGTTGTGGTTTTAAAATAGGCTTGTTATTTCATCTTGTTTTTTAGTCGATATGGGAGTGATAGAGCATTTGTGGCGAAAAGGTTTTGTGCAATATTTTCTCCTGCTTCTTAGAAAAAGAGGCTGCAAACAGATAAATGCCTGACACCACGGGAGGCTACTCTCCTCGATCTGGCATCAACAGATCAATTAGAAACACACACACACATACACACCCCTCCTAGTAACACATGTGCACAATTTATACACACCCTAGCAAGTCAAGGTCAAAAATAAGGCTGCTAGTCGCTCATTTGCTCTGTTTTCATTCGTCGTTAAGAGTGTATGTGTAAGTAATGTGTGCCTGTATGTGTGTGACAGCACTAGTGTTCATATCCCATTAGTTCCAATAACAAGTGTAGCATACAGGAACACAAACGGGGTTCTCTGTCATTTCAGCCGGAGCTTGTCATTAAGCTGGTTGCTCCTGTAGTTACTACAGGAAAGAAAAACTCCTCAACACCCGCACTCAAGTGCTCTGCTGGATCTCAGCTCGGTGGCATGTCACCAGCCACAGGAAATATCCCTGGGAAAATATAACTATATGTTTTTATTAATGTTGCAGCTTGGATTGCAGTCTGGAACTCAAACTGGCTGCACCTCTCACTACTGTTTTCCTTTGCAAAGTATGCACCTTTCTTTATTTTTAACACATGTTTGCCGGTATTGAGCTGAGATGATGCACTGTTGCCATCCAGGCCTGGTATTTGTAGCGGCGTGTAATTCTCCCCAGCTGCAGCTCTCACACTGAGCAGGTAGAGGGAAAGCTCTGCTGTAGTTATCAGCTCTCAGAGTAGATTTAATAATAGAAAAAGGGATTTAAGTTGGCATTAGATAGCGCTTGACGGCAGCGTCTGCGGGAATTAGCTGCTGAGTTTGACAGAAACTGGCGAGAGAGTGCTGCATGGGTATTTCCCAGGCTGCATGTGGTATTTATCAAACGGCATTGGTAATCCTACACCGGTGGAGTCAGAACGGAGAGAATTAGCGGTGATCAAAAATCTGAGGAATGCAGAAATGTACGAAGCGCCACATGAAGGGGAACCCAGCAGGAAGAGATGTGATGTCTTAGAATGTCTGAGCTAAGACGTTGGCTCTGGTATCCAACTCAAACCAAAGTTATGTGTCACACCCTCCACAGGCAGTCCCATTAATCATTAGGGGTAAAGAGAACAAAGCTGCCACTCCCACCTGAACTGCACACCTGATTAACACAACACACTGTTGCCAAACTGCACCAATCACCATTGATAAAAACAAATATATACCACTCTGAATATCCTTATTCCGCTCTCTGTATCTCTTCATTTGCTGACTATATTAATCAGTGGCAACATCATGGTAATATCTTATCCCAACCTTTGTAGTGGAGAGTATTTATTTCTGCCACTCTTGTTCCATCTGAAGCTCATATTGAGAAGACAGGAAGAGGACTAAATGACTACGCTCCATTTGGATACACAGCAGCCTTTTTATGAGACCCTGAACTCCAGTAAACAGCATCAGATTTAGTGCTATGTGTAATAGAATATATAGAGACGGTGCAAACCTCCAGGCTGCGTTCAGTTAAACAAACAAATGCTGTCCAAAGCAGTAAACTCGCCATGCCATTCCAACCTCTGTAATACTATATATATATATATTGCACATTTGCATAGTGATAAGTTGTCAAATGTAATACCAAGCTGAACATGTGTAATGTGAAATAGAATAATCAATAATAGAAAGAGAGCTGCTATCTAAAAAAGAAAAAGTAGAAATTGCACTACAATAATAGTTTTATATTTAAAATATATTTATTAAACTGGTACACACCCTTTCTGAAAACAATGAGGATTCCTCTACCTATACGTTCACAAGTGGAAAACTTCAGGTACTTTTTCATGTGTACGGAAATGGACTGAAGATAAGATAGAGACCATGTTAAATCAGGACAACTGCAGGCTCTAATTCCACAAATGCCATAAAGTGTCTCGTTATGAATGAGAATGCTTTCACTATTAAAGGTAACCACTGAAGAAGCTCCATCAGAATCTTGCTTTACCGCAGATTCAGTAGGCGGTGTTGTC